GCTTGTGTTCCCTCTCTCGCTGTGTCTCTTTCTGTCAAATAAATAAACTCTTTAAAAAAAAAAAAGATTATATTTATTTATTTGAGAGAGAGAGAGCGAGCACAAGCGGGGGAGCGGGGAGGGAGAAGCAGACTCCCCTGATGAGCAGGGAGCCTGACATGGTGCTTGAGCCCAGTACTCTGGGATCTGGACCTGAGCTGAAAGCAGATGCTTAACTGACTGAGCCACCCAGGCACCCCTAAGCATCTGATTCTTGATCTCAGCTCAGGTTTTGATCTCAGGGTCATGAGTTCAAGCCCTACACTGGGCTCCACACTGGGCATGGAGCCTACGTAAAAATTAATTAATTAATTAATTAATTAAAATAAAAATAAATCAACATATAAAGTATGTCAAAATCTATTATGACCACCCATTAAAAATCAATTTCATTAATCTAATTTAATTCAAGCCATTTTGAGATTATTTTTTTAAATGTGAATGGCCACATTAAACAAAATGCAGTATGATCAATGTCTCATTAAATTCTGGATAATTAATTTGACCTTATCTCGGTACTTTCTTTCCCTATCCATATATTTATTCCCAGCAACATTTTATAGGTGTGTCTCACATAAACTTTCTATTTACAAATTTAGCTCTTTGAATAATTTCTTAGGACATTTTAATTCTGACAGCCACACTCACAAAGGTTTGACCGTATTATTGTTCTAGATTATTTGTAGATATTTTGGTACACAGTGATTGCTTTCACTTAGTAAGCGTTAATAAAAGATGGAAACATGTATGTGAAATAATGATGACAATATGTAACAAGGGCACTGAGAGGGTGGTGTGTGCCAGGCAATGTTCCGAGTGCTTTGCTTGGGTTTTCATTTAGCCCTCACCACAACCCTTTTAGGTAGATCTGTTAGTATTTCTATTTTATAAGTGAGGAAACTCAGACACAGAGAGGTGGAATAATTTGTCTGCGGGCACACAGCCAATGAGGGGCAGGACCAGATTCTGAACTCCCTACGGTCCAGTTCTAGCTTCTGAACTTTTAACCTCTAGGAGCAAGAGTTTTGTTTTAGTGTAGAATCACTGGGAAAGATCTGCAACCTTTGTAACTGAATTATTACAGCTTGAATAACATAAAAAAGATAACTTATTAAATTTTTAAAAGAGAAAAACAGTATTATTAGTTATAATCCCAGATATGTTAAAATAAAATGGCTCCGTTTTCTGTGTCATAATCTTCATTGACACTCTTTTCTATTTAGGAATTTTCTCTTCTATACAAAATAGAAAGCTCAAGGGATATTGGCCAAATATTTTATTTTGACAAACTTTTTAGAAAATTCTTGGTTTCACAATTTTTGCAGTCTGTTATTCATTTCATTTTATGAAGTGCCCCCCCCCTCCCCCCCGCCAAATGCCAAGAACTCCTGTATTTTATTTTGTAGACTAGTGTGTGGTAAGGTGAGGATTTAAACTTAGGGGCTATTTAGAATTATATGAGAAATTTTAGATTTTATCAAAACCCAGAAACAGGAAGCAGGTGTCTAAGGGTAGATATTTCACTCTACAGAGAAATATGTGCTCTATTAGTGGCTAGGGTTTAATTGCCATATTTAATTCACTGAATGGAATTAGTGAATGTAGAACTTAAAATGAAAGGTTATTGTGAAAGCCAACTTTAACACTGTTTTTAATTAATTAATTTTTATTAATTTTTTTTTAAATTTGAGTATAATTGACATACAATGTTACATTAGTTTCAGGAGTACAACAGAGTGATTCAACCCCTCTATACATGATGCTATGCTCGCCAGAAGTGTAGCTGCCATCTGAAAGCCAACTTTTATTTTATTTATTTATTTACTTATTTTTAAAGATTTTATTTATTTATTTGACAGAGAGAGACACAGCGAGAGAGGGAACACAAGCAGGGGGAGTGGGAGAGGGAGAAGCAGGCTTCCCACGGAGCAGGGAGCCCGATGTGGGGCTCGATCCCAGAACCCTGGGATCATGACCTGAGCCGAAGGCAGACGCTTAAAGACTGAGCCACCCAGGCGCCCCTGAAAGCCAACTTTTAGTCTGTTGTTTGGAAGGCGCTTTGTATTATAGGATGCTTGAAAACAGTACCTGCATCAATTTTTCATGGTGTTTCCATGAAGCTCAGTTTAGTCACATAATTAAATTGTCAAATAGATTTATTAAGTTGGCTTTAGGCTGAGAAATTGACAGTAAACATAATGGGAAAAGTAGAAGTTTACTTTAATTATTGGTCATTAAAATAATTATGTTTCATATTTGTCCTTGAAATGTTTCACATCTGATGCCATATTGTTTCATCATAGTAGCTCTGCGAAGCAGTTAAGAAGCTGATATGATCTGCATTTTACTAAAAAGGAAAATTAAGTTATGGGGAAATGAACTGACTTAACGAAGGACAAGCAGGTCTTTAGAATAACAGGCAGAACGAGACCTTAAACTTTTCACCTTTCAAAGAAGGTGATCGCTAAATCCTTAAAATTCTCAACTAAGACATTGTTATTTACATACTTATGTACTTAATTCTGTTTCAAACTAGGATAACTGACTCATTCTGTAATAAGTTATCCAATGGCTATAGGTCATATATGATGTAGATGTTCTTTAAGAGAAATTGAGCTGTAGCCATGATATACATATCATTTAAAATCATCTGTCATATGAAGAAAATAGTAGGCATCAATTAAATAAAAGAGGGAAAATGGAAAAAAATGAAGGGATTTTACAAATACAATTTTAGTGATCCTTTCAAGCTGTCATTACCATGTGTCAAGTTATATTCCTCAGATAAAATTCATTATTAATTTATGAAGGACTAAGAGTGTTATCCCTTTATAAGGTGTTTATTTTTGTGACCATGCATGGCATAATTGGGAAAACCTATAATAATAAACTCTTTATAGTGATCATGCAAGTCAGAGATAATTATATGGTCCAGAAAAGTATCTTCTTTCATGGTATGCAAATACAGGCTTGTGTCATATTTTGAGGTATGCATTTGTTAATTTCTACTCTTTGTTAATAGGGTCCTTGAGAAGCAGTCCTTTGACTTTCAGTACATCATAAACAGAAGGCAGCAGTGGAAATTTTATCAGGAGAAATTGCACAAGCAGGGACTGGAATGGGTAAATAGGCATATTTTTACAGTTATAGCTATAAGAATCCCTTACTTTCTTATCACTATCATCAATTATAATATTCATTAGTTGGCCCTTCTGAACTTGGCAGTGTGTGCCAAGGGTCATGCCGTATTCACAGCCCTTTGCCTTTCAGGATTTGAATACCTTTAAACATTTGTTGTATATATACTCTCTCTCATAACATTTATTTCAAATTGACCAAAAATTTTAAAACATCTTGACATTAAATATGGCCATATATGTTTGCCCATTACGTATATGGCAAATGATGGATTTAGGGAATAGTCCCAAACAAAGCAACCTGGTAAACCCAGAGCATGGGTTTGCTCTGCCCATGTCATCACCTACAACCTGTGTTCCATTACCCCCACGTTAGGATCCCATTTCCCCAGAGCAGTCTCTTCCTTCTTAGTGTCCTCTGAGCAGGTCTCAGGGTGTGCTGTGCTTTGCCACCTCCAGGCACACAGGATTTCTTCCCTACATTGCTTTTACTCTCCCCTCACAAATGAAACGGACCTGCCATGATCACAGGACAAGGCCTCTTGAGGCTTCTGTTCTGATAACCCAATGAGTTCATTCACTCATTGGGACATAACATTTGAAAGGTTTTAAATTCCTACATTTCATACAGGGAGAAATTGAGGCTGAGAGAGGTGAAGTGGGTAAAAGGAGAGAAAGTAAGAACCCTCCTTTGGTTCCCAAGAACAGTAGTAAAACTTTCTAGAAATGTTCGTGTCATGGGGACAAGTTCTGTTCTATTTCCACTTCTTTGCTCTTTCTCTACCAATGTTTAAAAATGGAGGGAGAATTGAATTTTGACTATACAAGACTTACATCTTAAAATTAAAACAAAGCCAAAATCAGTAAGTGGGACTACCTTAAACTAAAAAGTTTCTGCACAGCAAAAAAATGATCAACAAAATGAGAAGGCAACCTATGGAATGGGGGAAGATATTTGCAAGCCATCTATCTGATAAGGGGATAATAGTACAAATATATAAGGAGCTTTCTTCAGCTCAATAGAAATAAAAAACAATCCAATTAAAAAATGGGCAGAGGACTTGAGTAGACATTTTCCCAAAGATGACATATAAATGGCTGATAAATATATGAAAAGGTGCTCAACATCACTAACATCAGGGAAATGCAAATCAAAACCACAATGAGATATTACCTCACACCTATTAGAATGGGTATTATCAAAATGACAGGTGATAACAAATGATACAGAGAAAAGGGAACCCTTGTGCGCTGTTGGTGGGAATGCAAACTGGTGCAGCCACTAAGGAAAACAGTATGGAGCTTCCTCAAAAAATTAAAACTGGAACTACCCTGTGATTCAGCAATCCCACTTTTAGGGACATAGTCCAAAATAAAATCCCTATCTCAAAGAGATATCTGCACCCCCATGTTCATTGCAGCATTATTTACAATAGCCATGACATGGAAACAATCTCAAGTGTCCATCGACAGATGAATGGACAAAGAAAATGTGGTGTATATACACAATGGAATATTGTTCAGCCATAAAAAAGAAGGAAATCCTGCCATTTGCAACACCATGAATGGACCTTGAGGGCATTATGCTAAGTGAAATAATTTAGATTGAGAAAGACAAATACTTATATGCGAAATCTAAAAACACTGAACTAGAAACAGAGAATAGAATGATGATTGTCAGGAGCTGAGGTGCAGGGGAAATGGGGAGATGTCGGTCAAAGGGTACAAACTTTCAGTTATGGTATGAATAACTTCCAGGGATCTAATGTACAACATGGTAACAACAGCTAACAATACTGTATTGTATACTCCAAAATTGCTGTGAAAGTAGAGCTTTAATTTTCTCACCATAACAACAACAAAATGGTAATTATGTGAGGCAAAAGATGTTCTAACCAACCTTACTGTGGTAAGCACTTCACAATATATACAAACATCAAATCATCATATGACCTTAAACTTACACAATGTTATATGTCAGTTCTATTTCAAAAAGCTGGATATAAATTAAAATGAGAAACACATTATGGAAATAGCAGAGGCGTATTTGCCATAAAACTAATGAAGTTTAACCTCCAGGGCCCTTCACTTATCTGGGCACCTTCCAAGGCACTACCGTTGTGCTCACATAGTCAGATATTTTTGTAAAGTTGGTACGAGTAAGATATTTTATCTGGAAGACTATTATCTCTTTCCACCTTAGCTACCCTTTTGCCAGACTTTTCCAGATACGCTTATGTGCCTCCCAGGCTATTCTGTGCGTGTTATTATTAGCCTTCTTGGTGGAGGCTGTGCTACCATAGGAATATCTCTACCTCAGCCACACCAGCTCTCCTAATTTCATGATATTGAAGGCGGGGCCAGAAGTTTGGTTGCTGTATGAATGATCTTTCGTCCCGAGCACCAGAAGTATATAGGCACTGGAAGAGAAACATGTTTGAAAGATATGAAGTCAGAAGCCAATCCATTTGTGGAAAATTCTTCCAAGCTTTAGGTGTGTAAAAACTTATTAAACACAAGATTCATTAGCCATGTAAGCAGATGTTTCAGTTCTCCTTGTCACCCAGTGAAAACAAGAAGTTCTGCCCTGTCAGGAATATAGTCGACAATGAAGCATATTAAATTATAATAGCATCCCAAAGTAAAATTATTTTTCGTGTATTTCTACATGAGATCAATAGATATTTTTCTATCAAGAAGTAAATTGTAACAAATTTTCAGATCACATCAAAAGCAGCAATTCATCGAGAGAGATAAATTTCAAATAGAAAAGTTATGATAAATTGAGCCCAATTAATGAAGAGTAATAAATTATATGAACACATTGGAAAAAGATAGAACTTTTTGATGATTTGACAACAAATACTGACATCCACAAAATAGCATAAAAGTCACCCCACTACAATGAATCATCAATGACAAACTGATGGAAGGTTGTCATAAAGTATTTAAGATTAACTTGCACAAGAAAAGTGAAATGCCCTGAAATCTTACAGCTCATGTATGGAAGAAACTTCTTCCCAAACTTACATGTGATGGACTTACAACTTAAAAACTTACATGTGATAAGTGAGTGGTGAAGCTAAAAACATTTTTCAAAACTCTCCATGATAAAGAATACATTTCAACCTGCTGTGCTGAAGAAATGACTGAAAATCTTACTATCTCCATAGAAAAGTGTATTTTAAAAATTATTTGCACTTGAAGAGACAAGCAGAGTATGCAGCCTAGAGAGGTAAGAAAAGATATTAGAGAAGGATGTCAGGCAGTTTATTAATTAAAATGTTATACTGTATTGCTAGATTCTGTGACATTCGTGGTATTTGTCAACTTTATAGAAATTATAATTGGTTGTGATTTTTTTTCTCATTCACTTTCCTGATTTTGTATTTTTAATTTTTATGATTTTTCTTAACAAAGTTTCTGCAAATTGTACTAACTTCAGGCCTCATGAAACCTAGATCTGCTTCACTTCCGATTAATACTAAGTCTTGCTACTTGATTTTTAATGTTGAAGACCTTACACAAGTTTTCAAAGCCAATCTCTTCTCTTCTGCGAGAAGAATAATGAATACTGCCCCATCGGGTTATAGGGTTATAAAAGAATGACAGAGGGAGAAAAAGACAGCAAGGAAAGGGGCGGGGAGAAAGAATATATGGGAGGATGTTTTAAGCTTCAAAGCAATAGATGTGAGCAAAATAAAAGTGATCTCAATGGGATATTTCTATGATATGTGACCTTCTCCTCTCTCTTCTTAGCCTATTGCTCACCATTTTACTTTTTTATTGATGATTTGAGATTGTGATTTTGAATGTATAAACTGCATGGGCTGACTCTCTCTTAAGTGTTTATTAATCTTCAAGTGTGAGAAAAATAAAATCCCCCCCTTTTTTTTTAAAGATTTATTTATTTGACAGAGAGAGACACAGCGAGAGAGGGAACACAAGCAGGGGGAGTGGGAGAGGGAGAAGCAGGCTTCCCGCTGAGCTGGGAGCCCGATGTGGAGCCCGATGCGGGGCTCGATCCCAGGACCCTGGGATCATGACCCGAGGCAAAGGCAGACGCCTAACGACTGAGCCACCCAGGTGCCCCAAAAATCCCCCATGTTTTAGTCACTGTTTTTTTATAGTTTCTGAGGCAGCCGAAAACCATGTCGGAGTGATATTAAATTTGGGAAGGAGTTTAGGAATTCTGGGGACTGCTATTAAATGTCCCCCTTCTATGCCAATTTTTTTACTCTTCTAATGCAGAGTAGCACATATTGTAGTCTACTTTCCAAAGTACAGCATGGGACAGTTTGACAACATTTTATATCACGCATATGAAGAGTTCCCGGCTTTCTGCTTTCAGTATCTGTGCCTTCACGGCTCAAAGTCCATCTTCAGCAATCTGGTTCCACATGTGAGGTTGTAGCACTCCATGTCCAGGTACCAAATTCTGTTTAGGTCAAGGCTCTTTGTTTCAAACAGAACTCTAGCTCGTTTAAGCAGAAAGAGATTTATTGAAGGTTCTTAGTAGCTCCCAGAATCTTGAGAGAGCCATAGAACTAGTTTTGGATCTCACTCGATCAAAAACAAAGAAAATAGAACAATCAAGCCAAAAAACAGTGGTTCCAAATGATTGATGAATGGTTAAAAAAGATGCAGTATATATACACAATAGAATATTACTCAGCCATAAAAAGGAATGGAATCTTGCTATCCGTGGCAACATGGTGGGCCTAGAGGGAGGGTATTATGCTAAGTGAAATAGGCCAGACCAAGACAAATACCATATGATTTCACTTATATGTGGAATCTAAAAAACAAACAAATGAATGAACAAACAACAGCAACAAAAGAGAGAAACAAACTTATAAATATAGAGAAAAAACCGGTGGTTGCCAAAGGGGAAGGGGTGGGGATGAGTGAAATGGGCGAAGGAGATTAAGAGGTACAAATCTACAGTTCTAAAATAAGGAAGTTACAGGGATGAAAAGTACAGCATAGGGAAGGAATATAGTCAATAATATTCTAATGCACTTATCGTGGTGAGCATTTCATAATGCGTGGAATTGTGGAATCGCTGTTGTACACTTGAAACTAATTTAATATGATATGTCAACTGTACTTCAATTCAAAAGAAGAACAGTGGTTCTAGGGAGCCAGGAGTATACTGGGCAGGCAGCACCCTATGCACCAGAGACTCTACCTTCCTTGTCTCAGAGGAGCTGCTTGGCTATACCACCGTGCTCCCCAAAAGGGACAAACTCTGAGCATGCAGTGGCCACCTCTCATTGCTCATTTCTCATCCAAATCCTGGCTGATGTCTCTGCTTGCCAGGAACATAGGCCAGCTGCCTGCACCCTAGCTGCAATACTGGGGAATGTTAGTGTCAGAGTGAGTGAGAGTGAGCCAACCCGGAGGATCTGCCACAGTTTCCTGCATCCTTACAAATTCACTCTGAGACTTGAGGCAAGGTCCTTAACCTCTCTAACTAATCCATCCTCTTAATACTTAACGTGAGGATTTTGGATGCCATAGTAAATTCCCAGAATCCTTATGGTAATACAAATCTGTGTCTGCTCTAGTTAGAACTCTGGCTTCTAGTGATGGAACCCTTACATGAGCTAGTGAAAGTAAGTCAAGGGTATTTATTCGCTCTTATAACCTAATCGCGGGAAGAGTAAAGGTGCCGCGAGGTGTAGGGGTGTGGGCTCCTCTGACCTCTCACTTTCTCCCCTCTGCTTTCAGTGTGCTGACCAGGAAGACCGCTTTCTTTGGGAAGCTGGAGAAGCAGTCCCTGACAGCTCCAAGGCTACTTGTAGCCAAACTATTCCAAGATCATAAAGGAAAAGAAGTCCTCTCTCCCAGAATTGGTTTCTTCTAAGGTCCAGAAGGCCCTTTTGATTGGCCAAGCTTGGCTTGTGTGCCGACTCCTGTGGCCAGAGAAGTGGAGTCTTTAACCAGAGAAGGGATATCACACAGGTATGGCCACCAGAGAATTGTTGGGAGGCAGTCAAGTGCCCAGTGTGACCGGTGCAGATTTGAAGAGCTAGGAGGCCACAGTATGTGATGTGGGATTTATTCATTGGTTTTCATTTCAGATATTTCAAATGAAATAAACTTCAGTTAGTTTTGTGAATCTCAGTGTTGCATGGGGCTTAGTAGGAGAAGCAATTCCACATATGACTCAGTGCCTGCATTCGGGGAGCTTAGAATGTAATGATAGAGATAAAGAGGCACCTGAAGTCCCAGCTGTAAACAATACAACGGTTTTAGGGAAAGAGCTGAAATCCTAAAGCTGATGAATATGGAACTTGAAGGGTTACATTGATAACAGTTTTTGCCAGGCATTTTGCCCCAAATCATATTCCCAAGCCAAATACAATTGGTATTTGTATTTTAAGATCAAATGATCTTAATGATCAAAATGTCATAGATAAAAGAGAAAATTGATACTTTTTCTTGAACTTTTGGCCTTTATCTTTTTTTTCGTGGGTGTTGTCTGTGTTGGTATACACATAGACAGCCTTTTCCTTTGGAAAGTTACATTATTGTGCTGAAATATATTTTACTTTTAGCAATAAATATGACAGTATGGTTCTTTGGTCTTATATTTTCTAGACATAGCTTGTATAACAGAAAACAATTATTTTCTCCTTCAAATCAAGGAATCGGTAGCTCACTCTAAAATTTATCTGGACGGAATTTTGCATATTAAGTTATATTCTGTTGGCAGTTAGATTGTTGGAAAAGTGTGAAAAGTTTCAGTCAGTCTATGTTTTGCTTCGTCATACAAATTAGCTTCTTGGTTTTATAATCTGAAGCACATGCATATTAAGTAGAGTAAACTAATTGCAGTAAATCCTGGCAATAATCTGGATGTTTCAATAATATCACATTGTTAATTCTGAGTTTACTTGTAACACTGTTGCATAAGGGTCTTATTTTTAAGATTTTATTTATTTATTTGACAGAGAGAGAGAATGAGAGCAGGAACACAAGCAGGGGGAGCGGGAGAAGGAGAAGCAGGCTTCCCGCTGAGCAGGGAGCCTGATGTGGGGCTCGATCCCAGGACCCTGGGATCATGACCTGAGCTGAAGGCAGACGCTTAACGACTGAGCCACCCAGGCGCCCCAGGGTCTTATTTTTAAATTGTTTTAGTCTTGCTGGCCTCGGCTTCTCTGATGATTAAATTAATTGAATTGATTAGATTTTGTTTAATTAGATTTTATACTTTGATGTCACGTCATGGCTTTTGAAAGCATTTTGCACCCTCTTCATCGTGGGCAATACATATAGATTTAGCTAGTGGTTCATATATACTCTGTTTCTTTCTTTTGTGGACTTTTTATTGCAATAGGCAATAATCAATTTACATACTTTGGGGATGCTAGAGGATCGCTCCTTGCTTTTAAAAGTAGGATATATCCACCTGAATAATATTTTTAGTGACTGCCAAAATGACTGTTTGCTCCAGCATTTATGCCCATTTTTCATTGTAGGGTAAATGGCCCTTCAAACTAAATGGGGATGTTTAATATTCCAGGGATTTAACCCACAATCTTTGATGAATGCCAGTGCTGTTTTAAAAAGAATTGCTGTCTTAGTGTAAATAAAATCAAAATCCTGGCATTACAATCTAATTGAGAAATCTGTTTGGAATGTCGGGTCACTAGAGATCATATGTGACCTCCTGGAGCAAAAGAAAATGCAAATGATGATGGCAAAGGGTATAGGATGTTGAGGAAACACACATGATGTTGAGGAAACACAATGATGTCAGCGCTAAGACGTTGACATCACTGCATCCGTCTTGGCCTTTTCCCCTCGTGCCCTGATCAAGGCAGGAAAAGGGGGAAAAGGTGGTGTGGGCTGCACTTGGTCCTTTAATCAGGAAGCCTTGCCAGCAGTTGCCAGGAGACTTCTGCTTCCGTCTGATTGCCCGGCGCTGTGTGGGAGGCTGAGGAAGCTCTCTGATCCTCATGGTGGGAGAAGTCAAGGGACACGGGACTTGGGAATGGCAGTTAGACCAGCCAAATGGCAGCATCTACCACACACAGCAAGGGCAGATTTTGTAAGCTTGGCAGCATGCCGGTGAAGGATTTCCCATCTGAGATTTCTGTTTTCTTTGGAAGTTGGAAATAAGCTCATCTGCTAAGAGAGTAATGGAACATGTGAAGGTAGTGAAAATCAGAAATGGCCTTTTTGGAGACTTGGAGAAACTGGGAACTGATGAAAGACACCAACTGATTTCTTCTGAGCAACGCTGAGGTTCGACTGAAATTAGAGATCATGGATTCAGAGGTCACACGACTAGAGGAATGCGCGGCTATGCAAAGGCTGCTCAGTACGTGACCACGGGACAGTGGAAATGCTATGCGTCACTATATGGTACACTTGATGCGATCGGGTTATATAATCACTTTTATCTTGAGTTGTTTATATGAAATTCATATTGTTTCCTTTTTTAAAAATTTTTTTATTCATTCTGTATAAATCATTACCTGCATGGTTTAGGTATGTCTCCTATAGAGTACACAGTAATGTTGTAGGAGATTGATCATTGTGAAAGTCTTCAGATCTATAGGGAAATTGAAAGAGTAGTATAATAAACAGCCTCACGGCATTCACGGACATTCAGTAACTAACATCTTCCCACATTTTCTGTCTCCTTTCTCAATCTCTCCCTCTCTCTCCACAAACACACACACGTTTTTTTATCCCGAACCCCTTGAAACTTTAAGTTGTAGACAATAAGACACTGTAGCGCTAAATACTTCAGCATGTGTCTCCTGGTAATTGGGACATCCTCCTATGCAAACACAACAGCACGGATTTTTGCCCCTTAGAGAATCAACATTAATCTCACCAACGAGGCTTCAGTACATCTTTGTTTCCCACTTGTCCCCAAAGTGCCTTTCAACCCAAACAGTCTGAAGGAGAGTGTTTGAAAACTATGTATGTTTTGAAATTAATTTAGCAAATTTTGAAGTGCCCTGTAGCAGTTGGCTTACTGTTGAAATTTTGTTGCCTTTGTCAGGGCTTTTCCAATCTCTTTAGGTTTTCATTTTGGATGCACACAACAACATACAGTATCTTATATGTGTGTCTACATCTAAAACTTACATTTGTATTGGCTTTTGTTTTCCTGATACACTTAAGCAGTACCTTTTCCTCCTTCCCATTTTAATGACCAACCTTTCCATCCTTCATTTTTGACTCTAGATTGGTATCGTGTGGTAGATATAAAGTATCTGCATTATTTCTTCAACTACCAATGAAAGCCTGTATTTGAATATATATTATATACTATTCCCTTCATTGTTCAAATGGTAAATGTGACTTAATATTTGTCCAGGTGGATAAAGTGGCTATTTTATGGGTATATTACAACTGTTAATTAATAAAATCTAACTCAGTGACTGGGAGGAAGGTATTTCATATAGAAATTCAATTTACCTTTTGTAAAATTGGAAATACTAGTGATTAATGTCCTCTACATGAAGAACACTCTAGGAAACACTGGGTGTGCCTAAATATAATACAAACATAACTCCTTATCAAGGAACTGGAATTCTAAAACAACATGGAAACAGACATGTAAATAAAAGAATTGATAATGAAAGGGAGCAAGTACATTGAGGCTGTTTGCCAAATGCAGGAATAGGATTAAGGATATTTAAACAGGAACAAGTTCCTTGATTTATACAGTGTCTTTTTAATTTTCATACTGATTTAATCTGTTAATAAAAATAGGGTGATTGGGACTTGAGTAATTTTCCGGGCATTTTCACCATCATGCAAATGTATACGGTATGAGGTATGATGTTTGTTCCTGCTAGAATGCGTTGTCTTGTGTGGGGTGCTGGACGGGCCCCAGGCATTTAGGCCCATGCAGCTCCCCACTAGAACTGAAACTTCTCTGGTCCCACCCACTCTCGGCAGCATCAGCCACAGGAGCCCTAGATGCACAATTTCCCCTGACCTGGGCCCCAGTCCCTAGCACTGACCTTCAGGGCTCCCGTTGTACCAGTGAGTTTCCAGTGTTTGAATTATTTATAATCAGAAAACCTACAGACATAAAACTACACTGAAGCAGGTATGGCTCAGCATCTTTTGTTCAGGGCCTTTTTGTGATGAATGTACTGCTATTAACTCTGGTTGAACCTAAATTGTCTGCCAACTGTGCCTACACCTGAGCGGCCAAACCCTAACCGGCTTTATTTTAATTCATGACCACCAGCCCGTGCGCCCAACAGGTCTGACTGTTTCTCTAGGCTCCTGAATCTCATCCACTGCCCAAACTCGCGCCTCTTACAGTCTCCTCCCGTCAGTTGGGCAACTCCATTTTTCTAGTTGCTCAGGCCAGAAACCATGGAGTCAGCCTTAACTCCTCTTTTTCATAAGCCACATCTGATCTAGAAGCACTTGCATTGGCTCTATCTTTTGAGTGTACGTAGGATCTAAGCCTTCGCACCGGTTCCACGCCATCCCTCCCGATCCAAGCGATCAGCTTCTCTTGCCTGGATGTTTGCAATGGTGTGCCAACAGCTCTTCCTCCACAGCCTCCCACAGCCCCCAGCACAGATGTGTGCACACGCAGACACACACTTACACTCACCCGCTCACAACGAGCAAAGCAGCAGCCAGAATAATGCTGTTAAACCTACTTTAATCAGATCAGGCTGCCCCTCTCATGGAGCTCTCCAAGGGCTCCCCTACTCAGAGTAAAAGCCGAAGTCTTTACAGTGGCCCACGAGGCACCCATGAGTAAAAAGTCTGGGAAAAGGCCAGAAAGAGATATTGGCCAAAGATATATATTATTTTGGGGTTAAACAAGAAATGGAGAGAATAAGCTTTAGAAATAAATAATCTATTTTTAAAGGCCAACAATTTAGCAAAATTCGGAATGATCTTTACAGTGTAGTTTCTGAAATGAGCGATGAAAAAGCGATTAGGCCATCTTATTTTAGGTACAGAGAAAGAACTGAAAAAAAAAATTGAATTTGCTTTATGTGTGTGTTGGATATCAGTCCTAGATATAAGTGTTTCTTAATAATCAGTGCCAAACTTGTATAGACCATACTGATTGTCTATATTTTGAGTTGTTGATAATACTTTAAATGCTAATTTGACACTTTCACTTTTCTTCATTTCTATATATTTTGTTTGTGAATAATCATAAAATCCCATGTGACCTAGATAACAGGAATATGCAATAGGGACTTGCTGTTGGGGGTTTAAGCACAGTTCAATAACTATAAAATATTTCACTAATAGGAAAAGAATAAGACAAACCCTCTGTTGACCTTTGTTTCACATTAAAATGACCGG